GCCTCCCAAAGGCGCGGGATTACAGGCTGAGCCACCGAGCCCGACTCTTTTTTTTTTTTTGAGTTGGTATCTTACTCTGTTGCTCAAGCTAGAGTGCGGTGGCACAATCAAGTCTCTCTACAGCCTTAACCGCCAGGACTCAAGCAGTCCTCCTGCCTCAGTCTCCTGAGTAGCCGGGCCTACAGGTGCACGTACGCCACTGTGTCTGGCTAATTTTTTCTTTTTTGAGTTGGAGTGCCACTCTGTCGCCCAGGTTGGAGTGCTGTGGCACGCTCATGGCAACCACAGCCTCCACCTCCTGGACTCAGGCGATTCTTCCATTTTCCACCTCAGCCTACCAAAGTAGCTGGAACTACAGGCATGCACTACCACCCCTGGCTTATTTTTTGATTTATTGTAGAGATGAGGTCTCACCAGGTTGCCCAGGCTGCTCTCGAACCCCTGAGCTCAGGCAATCCTCTTGCCTCAGCCTCCCAAAATGCTGGGATTACAGGCTTGAGTCACCATGCTCAGCCTTAATTTTCTTTCTTTTTTGTTGGTAGAGACAAGGTCTTGCCGTGCTGCAGGCTGGTCTCGAACCCCTGGCCTCAAGCAATCCTCCCACCTCAGCCTCCCAAAGTGCTGGGATTACAGGCATGAGCCAGCGCACCCGGCCTCCTTTTATATATTTAATGCTCTTGAAGCACGTAAGCACAAGGAGTGGTCATGAGACACAAGGGCTATGACAGGGTTGGAGGCCGGGGCGGTGATGGCTGAGTGTTACCCAGGGCTCCTGGAAGCAGAACAAGGAGACAGTCGGGAGAGAGGGTCTAGGAGGGACACGCAGACACGTGGCCACAGCTCATGGTGTGGGGTGGCTCTGGGCAGAATGGGTTTTCACCCGAGCGAGGGAAGACGAGGGGGCAAAGTTGAACCAGATTTGTTGTTTCACTTCAGCTGATGGGAAGGAGCAGGACTGTCTGGGATAACCCACAATTCTGTTAAGGCAGATGCCCCAAGACAGAGACATAAACCCAGCACGCCAGGCTGTGAGGAGGGGCGTGTATGCAAAGTTTCCCTCTCTGGAAGCCATCTAGCTGGGCCCCCGGCATGGTTTCTGCACCTGGATTCCTACCTAAGATCCATTTCTCGGACAGGTACTTGACCACTGCCGTCTTTTGTCCGCTGGGGGGCCCGATGAAGACGCTGGCCTCGTGTGGTGCTCGGCTGACCTGGCCTCCACACAGGAGGACCAGTTCGCACAGCTTGGCCCTCGGGGGGTTGCTGGCTGGTGAGATGAACATCACGGGCTGGTCGGAGAAGAGGGTTCCCTGGTACTGCCGTGCAGACAGGTGGCGCTCCCGACGGCACAGCTGTGGGGAGACAGAGGGAGACTCGTGAGGAGGAACCATCCCATTCTGTTTCAAGTAGGCTAAGGGTGAGCTTGCTTCCCTTTTCGGGAAAAGAACAAACAACGTAAGGCTGCATGTGTGCAGGTGAATTTTGAATTCCAAGCATCTGGAGAAGATAATGACATTAATGATGTAAAACTGACATTTTCTCAAGTGGCTGTGAGTAAAACTCCAAGGAAAAGAATTTATAGACAAAAAAAAAAGAAAAAAGAAAAAGAAGTGTAGGCTTTTGAATTATTACAAATTCTAAAACAAAATGTTGGCCAATAATCAACTCTTCAACAGAGTGGCGAGAGTTGTGTCTATGTTCCGTAAATCCTGTTTAAGTCACTTGGATGATAGGTGCACGTCAAGGCAAGATTCCAATGTTCTATAAACTCCCGTCATGGGAACAGCATCCTCCAGACCAGCAAGGTAGTATGCAGCTCTTGGCAGCAGACAACTTTCACAGGATTTAAGAAATACCATAACCAAGTTCCCCAGTTTAGATGGGTGGAGAGAGAACAAGGTAGTACCACAGCAGAGTTCCCACAGTCATTCCCAAAACACATTAGGCTGGGGGAATGGAAGTGCCTAGAGGTTGTTAAATGAGCTATCATGAAAATGGTTATGAAGGGTGCCACAGACAGTGGGGAATATTCTAGAAACAGGAGTGTGAAGCCATGCTGCTCATTCTGATGAGGTGTGGTCATCTGGTTGACCCAGGCAACGGTGGGAAGTCCCAGCTATTCTAAACACACATTTTTACTAACACAGGGTGAACACGATTTCTTTTTAAGTGCAAATACTCTCTGACAGATGATGAAGGTTATCTGTCATACATGTTTTGAGTATTTTAACCTGCTTATTTCTCCTGTAATAGCTGAGACCAAGTCAGGCACAGAGGCTCACACCTGTAATCTCAGTTCTCTGGGAGGCCGAGGCAGGAGGACTGCTTGAGCCCAGGACTTTGAGAATAGCTTGGGCAACATAGCAAGACCACCACCACCACCAACAAAAAAGCCAGGTGTGGTGGTGTCCACCTGTAGTCCTCTCTACATGGAAGGCTGAGGCACAAGGATTGCCTGAGTCTGGCAGGTTGAGGTTGCAGTCGCCTTGATCATACCATTGTACTCCAGCGTGGTAGAAAGAGCGAGACTTCGACTCAAAAACAAAACAAACTCCTCACCCCCCCCAAAAAACCAAAAACCTAAATTAAAAAACCCAACAAGAACAAAAAATACACTTAAACATGGTCAGGAAACCCTCTTTTTCTCTTCTCTGCTTTGAACTGCACAACACCACACTACGCAGTTAATAGCTTTTGAAGGGCGCAGAAAGTGGCCAGAGGGGCGGCTCCCCACATGGCGCCGACACACCAGACAACAAAGACCCTAGGTCCTGGCTTCTGTGAGCACAATTCCCCGCATGCGTGAATTTCAAACCTTCCCGCGCACGAATTTCAAACCTGCAAGCCTCCAATCCGTAGCCAGCTTTGTTATGCGTCCAATAGGACTATAACACGGCATTGGCCCCACCCTGTTCCCATGCAGCTCCTCCAATAGGAGCATAGCACGGCCCCCTCCGGCCCCTGTCAGGCTGATAAATACAGCCCTCTCCCCGCAACTCTCTCTCTCGGTCTCTCTCTCTCTCTCTCTCTGTCCCTCTCTCCCTCTCTGCAGCTCTCTCCCCGCTTCTCTCCCACTTCCTCTCTCTCTCTTACTCTCTCTTTCTCTCTCTCTTTTTCTTTTTTCCTGTTACAGATCCCCTCTGTAACAGCCGCTTTAATAAATCTCTTGGTCCTGGCTGGGTGTGGAGTCATTACTGGCACCGAACTTCTTTCAGCTTTCACCTGACTTGCAAGTGAAACCAGCAGCAGGACCCTCATAAAGCAAATGATAATTCTCCCTGTGTGGTGGCTTTGCTAGTAATACTCCTGTGAATAGGTGGGGGAAAGGGCCGAGTTTAATTCCCGGATGACAGTCCTGAGCTGGGGCATGCAAAGGTCTGCCTTGGCCAATGGTGAGTCAAGCAAGAAAAAGCCCACAGTCCCTGGTGTCCATGAACTTGGTGAACCACAGGACCAAGCTGCATCGAAACACAAGATCAAGTATCTTTCTTGTTAAAGTGGAACACAACTACACGTTCAAAAAATTAATTATAAAAGTAGCTGACAATTGAAACAACATAGTAGGAGGGGGTAGAGAGGGGGTGAGGGTTGAAAAACTCTACTGGCTGCTATGTTTACTATTCGGGTGATGAACGGAGCTGGGACTACAGCCTATAGATTGGCCTGAGATTTTCTAGTTAAAAATAGTTAAAAGATGATTTTTTAAAAAGCTCAAAAATCATAACTTTCATGCAGATATAAAATGAACACATGTTCATTTTAGCCTGATGCGGTGGCATGCACCTGTGGTCCCAGCTACTTGGGAGGGTGAAGCAAGAGGAAGAGTTGAGCCTAGGAGTTCGAGGCTGCAGTACACTCTGATTGTGCCTGTGAACAGCCACTGCACTCCAGCCCAGGCAACATGGTGAGACCCCCACCTCTTAAAAAAAAAGAGAGATGTGTTCATTTTATTGAACTCAGATAGATGCTATAACCGGTTCAAATGAGAATCTGAAGAACACATTCATGGATTAGGATACTGAAATGAACTTGCAAATGGACAAAGAAAACTAGCTTTTCCCTGGGGAAAGGGGCATCCCTCCAGCAGACAGAATTCATTTCCTGCCCCTAGACATGAATGTCCCCACTGCCAGTAGTTCTTTACAACTTATAGGGCTGTAAAATAGCTCTGAGGCAAAGAAAGCCACAATCAGATAACATGGCAGGGGGTGCACAGTCTAAAAACGTATCTCTTTCCAAGGAGGCATGCATTTTCCCCTGCAGAACCCAAGACATCTCTTTAAAAGGAATCATGAAAGAAAAGGGGATTAAGTGGCATTTGCTGGCTGCTCCAGGGCTAAGAAGCAAAATAAATAAGACTGCTCAGTAGTCGGGGTGAATTTTGCGTGTTCAAGAATTCTTGCTTTTCTCTGCAACGGTGACAAAATGGTCATTTCATGACTATGCGCATATACTCATGTGTACAAGGGAACCCAAAAAACTCTGGGACTTATTTATAAAAAGTTGTGTATTTGTTCTTACACGTTTAAACTTCAGTCACCTTCAAAGTACTCTCTATTTGATGCAATACACCTATGCTTTTTCCACTGCCCCAAACAGTTTTGAACTCATCAAATTTGATGCCTTTTATGCTTCTGCCATTTTTGTTTCACCTCTTCCACACTGGCAAAGTGTTTCCCTTTGATGACTTTATTCAACCAGAAAGACCAAAAAAAAAAAAAAAAAATTGCTTGGGGTGAGATCACATGAACAGGGAGGGTGGGGCATGGGGGGGTCATGCTGTTTTTGGTCAAAAACTGCTGAGCACTTAGCACCAGTGTGGACGGGTGTGGGCGTAAATCACCCATCACGAAATGAGCACATGTGCTGAAAGAATCACCAAAAAAAACATTCAGTGGAGCCGAAGGCAACCTCTCACAACAACACCACTTGGTACCTTGATGCTGATGGGTTCCTAAAACACTTACTTAGTAGGGAAGCCTATACTACAAGGGGCCTGCCCTCCAAAAGATAATTTGGGGTTTTTTTCGGTCCCTCTTGCAAGCATGTGTCAAGGAGGTGGCGGCAGAAGGCGGAGATTGCTCTTTGCAACGAGATCTTCCTGGAGTCCTGGGATGCAGAGGATGGGGAGTGCTAGTTAAGGCCCAAGAGATAGTAGCTTGGCTTTGAAATACGTTGCCTGCATTTGTGTTTGTGTCTTCACCAGAAAAGCTACTGATTTAATGGGTTTTAGCTCAGACCCTCCAAATCTATTTACTAGAATCAGTCAAGGCAGACTGTATTGCTGACAAAGCTTCTGACACTGACTCCAGATAGACAGTGTCATAATTGAATTGAATTGCAAGATACTCAGTTGGCCTCTGCAGAGAAGTGAAGAAATGTTTGGTGTTTATAAACAAACAACACACACTTTTGGTGTCAGAAGTGTGTGTGTGTGTGTGTGTATGGCAGAAAAAACCCAGAAGTTTGTTTTCGTTGAGAGGCATGGTTCTACGGAAAACTCACTGCCAGAAAGGGGTCTGGGAGTCATCTGAACAGAGGTGACAACCAAAGCCACAAGAGGATGGATTCATTTTCTGCTAAATTTGCAGTTCAAAAGTTTCAAGTTTGAATTTTGTAATTTGAAACACTGTCAGTGAAACACTTTTTGAAAGAACTAGAAAGGAGTTTCTATAAGGAAAATCAATGTCTCATGTTTTTAGTTTTAAGGAAATGGGCTAAAAGACATATAAAAGAATCTCAGGAGAGTATGAAGACAGTTCTGTCAACTTCTGGCCTGGGAGACCCCTGGGCTATGGGAAAGTAGAGTGATCACAAACTTGAAATCCTTTCTTCTGTTGGAAGGGGGCTTAGGGGTCTGTACTTTCTAAGCAGAATTATATTATAGTTCTTCATCATGGGGAAAGAAGAAAGCCTGAAAGCTAGGGAGTGAAAAGAAAGAAGACAGATGCTGTTCATTTTCCTCTCTCTGAGCAATTTATCATCGTGGAGAGAAAACAGTCTCAAGGAAGAAGACTATGGCTCAGAGTAAGAGTCGAACTGGAAAGGCTAGAAAGACCAGCACACCATGAAAGCTGTTTCCAAAATCTGGAAGAACTGGAACAAGAAGTGAGGTGTAGGGTAAGTTATAAAAGGATGTATATCAGTACCAAGAAGATGGTTTGGAGGGTTAAGTTAAATGTCATGAAGGAAAACACCCGCTTGTAACTTAGAGTTTCTTTGTTGGATATCACTGTGTCCCCCACAGTCTACTTGATGTCCTCTCAGGGGTTCTGATGGCAGAGCTTGAGGCAGCCCTTGTAAATTTCCTCCAGCAGCTCATGTTTTTTCATTCTTCTCTGTGTTGTATCTG